ATTTACAGGTGATCATGTATTGTATTATATTATATTTCTGGAAAATTTAAGGGGTAGTTATATAATAATTTTGGATGATCTCGGGCGGTTGGATACTTATGACCGCTACTGTAGCTTCAAAGAAAGATACAAACAATATGGATGCATTGTATGAGAAGATGGTCAAAAAAAGCACAAAAATTTTAGAAGAAAAAAAGAAGCATTATCCTAAAAATAACTCGCCTATTCCCTAAGAAGACTTTCGCAAAACTCATTGATTTTTGCATTATACTTAAGAGTGCTATATAGCATTTTTTCAAGTTTCTTGTAACTCACTTTTTTTAATATATCATCATCCTCACTTAAATCCTGCAAAATACAGTTCGGGATCGAGGATTCATCACAATCAGAAGTAATATTTTCGCAATTTATCTTGAGCTTGTTCTTGACTTTATGCATGATGACTGGAATAATATAATCTTTTCTATTCAGAGAGATCTTTAACTCATTAGTATTCCAATCTATTGCGTATTTATATTTCTTCAAGAGTTGGTTAGAAAATATTATGGTTAACTTATGATAATCTATAACTATAAAATCTTCATAAATAGTAAGTCCTATAGCTAAAGTAATTGGCAAATTGCAAACAATATTAATAGATTCAATAAAGATAGTAGCGACACCGCTAAGGTCGTATTTTTCAGATTTATTTATTTTAGCCTTAATGTGAACAACAATGTTCTTTATTATAATTGGAGGCTCTGCTCCAGAGTCAAGAATCATGGCTAGAATCTTTAAGCATTTGATTTTACACTTCACAGTAGCAACACTCATTTTTAGCTCCTTCTTTTTGATAAAATCGATCTCTATTAGATCATCTAAAGACTCTTCCTCTAGACTGGACTCATCTGAAATCAAATTATTAGAAGATGATGAGACATTGTTTTGGCTAGAAGCACTAAAGTGAAACTTTATCTTTACTACCTGTTTAGATACAACTGGACTAGAATCTTTGGAAAAGCATTCAGAAAAAAATAGTTTAAGCTCACTTAAGAGGACTTTACAAATAGTTTCATCTAGTGGAATTTCTTTTAGCATGATGCTAGGCATCTTCTTAGAGTATGATTTCTTAGAACTAGACTTCTGCTTCACTTTTTTTTGTTTTGACAATATTAACAGTAATATCACTTTCAGAATCAGAAGAATCAGAAGAACTTGTATCAGAATCATCGGAGGATGAACTATCGCTAGATGAAGTATTGTCTAAAGAAGAATTTGAATCTGAATCTGATTCTATAGCGAGATTGACCTTACCTTTTTTCGACTTCTTACTTTTCTTTTTCTTCTTTACAGAGCACTTACAAGAAGTGTGTTCAAATCTACCACACTTGATACATTTTTTAACAGCACTTCTAACAGCAGATTTGATAGCATTTATTGTAGCCCTATTTAGTGTCATGCTAGCCATACTGTCAGTAATATTATCAACAGAATCATAATTATAATCATCGTTAGAAGCTACATTACCTTTCTCTTTTAGTATATTACCTAAAAAACGTCTAATAATAAGGTCTTCTGCTTTCTTATTAGCTGATTTTTTACTATTACCTAGAATCTTAGTCGCTCGAGATATAGTCTTCTGCAATGATTTAATAGAAGATTGTAAATCAGCCTTAGTGATATTTTTCTGACCAGAAGAAGACGTCAGTGATTGATTTGGTACTGATTGCTATAATGTCTGAATCCTACTATTTACAATCTTATCAATATTTTCTGTAGTAATATTCTGATAAGAAAGTGTTTTTGGTTTTAACTTAGTAGCTAGCTGGTTATAAATATCCTCATCCAGAAGCAAATTATTCCTTTCCATTTTAATTTCTTCTAATGTTTCAATCAATTCATCATTTAAAGGTTTGTTTAAACCTAGTCGCTTTATTTTCAACTGTTTTCAGAAGACAAACCACGTATAAATTGTATTCTTTTTTACGATCGGATATTCTCATCCAGTTAGCATATTTGTTTATCTTTCTATAGTAATTTCTAACTGAATCAGATCCTTGAGTTAAAATACCAAAGATCAATTTCTGTTGCTCTCGAACAACCGTAGGATAATTCCTTTTAAACCAATAAATGACCTGGCTAATATTGATATCAGGAAGAACTATAGGATTATTGTTATTTGTAGCACCATTCAATACATTAGTCACTGTATCTACAGGACACCTCCCGGCAAGAGACTAATTCTCATTCGTGTAAACATTATGTGCTGGAATAACTGTAATGCCAGTAGCTCTAACTGGTAATGCTAGTGGTGGGGTACCATCTGATGCATTGATCATAACGGCCATTATATTAGCATTATTCAAAGCTTGAACAGCACCCATATTAGCCAAATTGTTGCCACATCTTATATGATTTAATCACCATTTTTTACTTATGAGTTTATCTTCAACCTAGCGTGATGTCTCGTCTGTCAAGTATGACTAAAATAGTTCTAAAGCTCTCTGTTTACCACCTGCATTAGCAGTAGTGATGTTGATCACTATAAAATAGAGTCTATAGTCTTTTATGTATTCATCTATATCTTCATTCACTCTATCTGAGAATCTTTTTAATGCATATCCTACTATCTCTAAATGTGAAAGATTATTTTATAATGCGAATATTTGTCCCTGCAAATTTAAAATATTCTGGCATTTTGCTTGAGTCTTATTTTTCCATTTCTCATATTACTCATAGAGCCTATCTCGATTATATTCTAATAAACTTATATCCTCTCTACAACACTGTAGATGGTAAGCATTTCGCTGATATAGTAGTTATAAGGCAAATTTTTCCTGTAATAATATACCAATATAGGTTCATTTTTCTATTATATAGGTTGATTGCTAGGAAAATCAGATTCTGGGAATTTTTTAACAAAATTGAGATTTTTATTGCATTTTAGTTTTTGATGTTATTATATTAAAATATATTAAACTCTTAATTTAAGTCAAAAATTTCTCAGAATCTGATTTTTCTAGAAACCCTCCAATATTGCCTAACATTTTATTTATTTGACTTTAGGTATTAGCCCGTAACTACTGAAGATCACCAACAATTCTATCTATTACTCCTTCAGCAATATCTCTTCACGTAATAGCAAAATCTCTTTTAACCTCTATATTATAACGCCTTCGTTGCTTATAGATTAAATCCTGTTGCAGATTGTGCTCTTTTTGCCAAATCTGCTTTGTTATCCTTTTGATTTAATCTATTAGAATATCTTTAGCTATTGCTCTATTATCCAGATAACCATCTATAGCATTTGCTAGCTCTGTGATAGTAGTCATTTCTAAGTTAATATTAGAATTATATAAGTCTGGAGAATTACCCTGCTCTGGAGAATTTTTTTGTGATGAGATAGTCTTGATCTGGCATCGTAATTTCTCTACCTGTTCTTCAAACTCTACCAATTGATTTTCTAAAGTAGAAATATATTTTTCCTTATCTTTCACATCCTTCTTGACTTGATATAGCTAAGATTTTAGAGTAGAGATTTCAGATTTCAGTTCTGATATTTCTTCTTTTGAAACATTTTCAAGATGCTCTATTTTTCTATTAAGATTCTGAATTTCTTACTCACAACAGGTATATTCGCATTCTAGCTCTCTGATCCACTTTTCATTCTAGTGATTACTATTAACTTTTGTCTGCAATTCATTACGAAGATGGAAGTTTTCTTCTTTCAGCTCAGCTTTATGTTCTTCACATATTCTTCTCTGCTTTAAGTAAGGTCTGCGAAATGCCATTTTTTTTCAATACTATAAAAAGAGAAGTAAAATGAGCTAACCGCAAATTGTAATAGATCTGAATAAGGCTCAGAGAATTAAAAAAATATCATATTGCGTGAAATATATTATTGTCTGATTGGCTATAATTCTAATCCTAAATCTTTGAGAGATGCATGTAAAAAAGAGGGATATCAATTCCGCCTAAGTGAATGCAAAGATTTTTTAAAAAATCAAGAGTCATATCAAACTAATAAAACCTTTCCAAAATACATCCTTAGAGTCAGCTATAGGCGAATAACACGCTCTAACTGTGTACACCTAGTGTGATATACTGTTTTTTACACATGATCATTATAGAGGTAAAAAATATAAAGCAGTGTTTAATATAATAGACTGTGTCTCTAGATATAAGGTTTCATTTCCGCTTAGATCAAAGAAAAGTTCTGAGATTGTTAAAGCATTTAGGAAAACATATGGAAATTAAAATAATCCATTGACATGGCCAAAGCTTATACAATATAATGGAGGCTGTGAGTTTATGGGTAAGACCTTCTGACTAATGCAAGAACATAATGTTGCAATTCAAATGATTAACCAATATAGCCATAGAGGACTTGCTTTTGTGAAGCGTTTCAACCAAACACTCTCAAAAATTCTATACAAAATTCAGTATGCTATTGAATCAATAACTTCTGATCCTACATTAATAAGAGTATGGATTAGATATATACCAGTAGTTATTAATTACCTAAATAATTATCCCACACATTTTATTCGAGAACTGGGATCAGAAAAGTGGGGACTTAAGCCAGTGAAAGCCATTGCTTTAGAATGAGTTGAATCTAGACCATTCACAAAATATAAGCACCCAGTTAGATGAGATAAAATAAGGTTAAAGAAAGGAGATACTGTCTGCTACCTACTTGCTAATGCAGAATGGGAAAGGGTATGGAAAATCAGAAGCGTGCAACTGACCATATATTTAGCCCAAGTCTTCATAGAATCTGAAAAGTTGTTGTTATAAAGAATGAGCAGTTTTATATTATCTCAGGAGTGATGATGATGAATTTACTCTAAAGCAAGAATTTGTAAGAGAGTAGCTCATATTAATAGCTGATCTAAAAAGAGTTGGTCATCTACTTCAAAGCATATTATCTGTACATATTACATATGCTTTTCCTATCAATAACGAGCTAGATCAAGCTATTGATTATACCAGAAGATGTGGTGATCAATGTTTAGGAAGGACTAGATGAATAAATGGTCATAATATATATCTTTGGTCTTGTGAGAATAGTATGCATCAGTGGAAGTATCCACTAAAATATATTATGAAAAATTCAAATGGTATTCACTTTGTCATTATAGAAGTGGTGAATATCAATGCCAATATATTTTTGAAGACCTACTAGATAAGAAATTCCCGTTGTTATGTTGAGTTTTGTAACTTCAAATAAAATCTCAAAAGGGTAAATAAAACTAAGACAATTACTCAAGGAATCACGGGTGAGGATTCACAA